AGAAGATGTTGGAAAATACTCAAGCGTATTTGAAGGGTTAGACAAATTCCCCCCACAGCATCATATCACTTTGAAAGATAATGTGATACCCCATGTGAGTGCCATTCGAAGGGTATATCGAAATCGATTATTATACAAAAAATTCACAAACCCTCTGTGTGGGTTCATCCATTAGTTATTGTAGAAATAGCCCATGGTGACCTGAGATTCTGCCTTGATCCTGAGGAGTTAAATCAAGCCGTTAAACGTGACACTTCTTGATACCTTCTCATCTACAGAAAGATGGATAGTGGCAGATTGAATTAGATGATGAAAGTGCTAAGTCGATGACATTTGGGACACCATTTGGGAGATACCAATTCGACAGAGTGGCTTTTGGATTATGTTCAGCATCAGAAGTTTGTCAAAAGAGAAATTTCGAGGTTTCTGGTTATTTACCAAGAGTTGGACTATATTTCAACGACCTGTTCTGGCTTTATTCGAGCCGAGAAAACACATAGAAAAAGAGAATGATGCGTCCCAGGGTGGACTTTGGGCGTGTCTAATTTAACAGGGCAAACCAGTGGCATTTGCCAGCCTCACAAAAACAGAACAGCAATATGCTCAGATAGAGGAAGGGTGCCTAGCTATCTCTGACACACTCTCTAGGGCTTGACGAAAAAAGGATACACCAGATAATAATAATAATAATAATAATAATAATATAAATTTATTCAATAAGCTGAAAATACTTAGGGAAGAGAATGTTATTGTTCAGCTCATCAAAAAATCAATAATGAAACTGAATATGCAGTCGATTCACTCGATAACACTTTGTCAATGTCAGAGGAAAAAAAAAACAAAAATTCAGGTTAGAAACCAGTCTTGACCCTCAATTACGAATGTTATCGAACTATATTCTCAAGCGATGTCTAAACCAGAAACAGAAAATACCTGAAATACTTGTAGAAAAATTATTTGTTTGTAATGACCTCATATTTTCAGAAAACAAGCTGTTAGTTCCACGAACCTTGTGGCAGGAAATGTTGAAATTAATGCATAAGGGACAAGTAGGCATTGATAAAACTAAGGCACATACATGTAGAGTATTTCATTAGCCAGGGTTAACAACAAATATTGGGTGCTATATAAAGTCATGCAGATCTGGAGAAAAATTAGCCTGAAAAAACACTAAATAAACTTTGTTACCATATCCAGTACCTAGTAGGCCATGGGAAAGAGTTGCTCCTGATATATTAACTTATGGGGAAAAAAGTTGTCGTTTTGTTTTGAATCTTATTCCAACTGGCTCGAACTCCAACCAATCAAAGAGAAAACCGCTAATGCTGTGATAACTCCAATCAAAACTGAACTTCTCGAATTGGATCTCCTGATTATCTTCAATGTGATAATGTTCCCTACAATTGTGAGATATTTAAAAAGTTTATTGATGATTGGAACTTTTATCTTGCATTCGAAAGTTCATATCATCCAAGATCCAATGGGTTAGCAGAGAAAGCTGTCTCAATTGAAAAAGAGAAGATTGAAAAACAATGGATGAGACGAAAAATACAGATTTTTCAGTCAGCCTCATGGAATTATAGAAACTCTCCACTCAAGAACATGGGATATTCTCCATCACAACTTTTTAATAGTAGAATATGCAAGACTAAAGTACCTGCGAGTGTCGACTCATTGAAGCACAGTCTGTGTGTTGATGTAACGGCTAAAATGCAAGCCAAACGTGACGCAAATGAATATTATTTCAATGAAAATGCCAGTGTTAAAACCTATGAATGAAAATAGTGATGTAATAATTCATGATCATATTTGTCATACATGGAAACCAACCAGAGTTATTAGTAATCATAATGCACCAAGACCTGATATGTTACAGGATTTTTATGGCAACAGTTAGAAGGAACCGATATATTATTAGAGAATCACAAAATCCGTCCCCTATCAGTAGAGAACGTGTTGATCATTCAGTAGGTCCCAACCAGATATCATCAGTCTTGAACCAATCATACATGCTCCTTAATCCAACCAGACAATTGAGAATACCTCAATCAATAACAGTCCACCTACCAAAGACGCAATATTTACATGTTCTGGGCGCACGATTAAAAAACCAGAAGAACTTAATCTTTACAAAAATAATGCTTGAAAGGATGTATGATATCGCTCATAATATAGCTCTTAGGATCCCCTATATATTATAGTGTTCTTTTATTAGTATATTTTAGTCCCGAACATGCATGTATTAGATATTGGCATCTTGATAGTGACAAGCAGTCAATGAGATGGAATTAAAAGACCAAAGACGTATGCTTTCTAATGGTTGTTTATTCGCGGTAGCCAAGGTCATCATCTGACGTTACGATGACATGAAAACTACAGATAAACATTCCTGACTCCTGGCTTAGATTGAAAGTTGCAACGTAAGATGATGACCTTGACTACCGCGAATTCTATCAATCACGAATAGGGTTACTAAAGTAATACAAAATTTACAACAAAGATGTTTCAAATCGATTGGGTGCAGAAAAAACACTTATTTCAGAAGTTGTATTTTTAGTTGATGCGGCTCCTGAAGTGATTAATTTTGATTTCCGATATTCTAAGTTGGAACAGCACTTTATGAAAAAAACGAGCCAATGCCACTACTTGCTTGGTGCTAGTGTGAATCGGCGAATGGAAAATGATATATATTTGGTTTGCGATTTATTTCACAATACAAACACACCCCAACTGTAATTTCAAACCAAATTTGTATACAGACTGAAAGTCACATTTTTCAAAATATATTTTTGACTAACCAATCAAGGAACAAATGAATCCAACATATTGAATTGCATCACAGTTAAACTGCATGGAGCAACCCTTCACGACTTCTTCAGTTGCATCATTTGCAGTATCGGGTGGAGCTGCGACTTTCGTTGTTAAAGAGAAAACCTACATATTATGTTTCATCTTCAATATGTTTCCGTCTAAGATGAATTCTTTTTGTGTTTCAATTGGGTGAAAAGCTTTATATGAATGTTGCTAGCGAGATGCAAATGTTAGGTGAAAGTTTTGATAAAATTACGGTGTTATGTTTCACCTGGTAGTTTATTGAAGGAATTGCACCTACAGTAGTAACAAATTCAATGACCAACCAAATCTTGATAAAATGAAAATGTTATCCTCGTTGGACAGGATGTACCTAGATCTAATTCGCATTTTGTCACTTTATATGAAGCCATTCAATGTAGTTCTCGTAACTACAAGGATTAGAACGCAGTAAAGTTTTGGGACATTTTTGTCCTCTCTACACATGAACAGAAATACTTCTCATAATTGTATTTGTAGACACAAGCCGAGAAAAATTCAAAGAAATCTGAGGAAATGAATATTCACCTCCTCAATTGATCTATAGACAGTATTATTGCTAAATTTAATCGGAGAAGGAAGAAACTGCTAGTACCTACTGGGAAGTGATTTACTGTCGCAATATACAATGCTTCGAGAAAATAACCTCTTTTGTACCACGTAAGGTACGTGAATAAACTAGTATACAGGGTAAGTATCACTGTAATTACCAAGGCTTTCAACATCATCAGCAACTCAGCAGCAACATTCCTCTATATAGGGTTCTTAACTAGATTGAGGATGAAACAAAATACAAGGAGATTCAGGTTCTACAAAAGGAAATGGGTGTGTAGATCTCATTATTTTAATCGAAAAAGTGTGTGGAAATATATAAATATGTGTCTGATCTCGATCATTAGCGGAGATACAGGGGGTCAAATTTGTTTTTTCAATAATTGAAATATCTTGCTCACCTCTGAAGCAATTTGAAATTTGGTGCATACTCAATACTTTCTAGAAGTTCATCAATTGAAGCATTTCAAAGATTTTTAAAATCTACTGAATCAGTAGCGGGGATACAGATGATAGAAGGTCAGGTTGCTTTTAACCGACCAATCCGATTACGACGCGGAAAATTCGGGTTAAGCCCCATCCAATTGTATGCATATTTCTCATTCAATATCTTTTACAATAACATTTTGAGATATTTATAAGTGATATGGTATTCAACTTGTCAGGAAGAATTCCATGATTGTTAACCAATTTTGTCCAAGAATAAAATTTAAGAAAAAATAAAGTTAAAATTAACATGTTCTCGAACGGATATGCTTATTCATTTTGAAATGAGTTCGTTTCTCGAAAATATTGAAAAGCAAAAAAAGCCTCTTAATTGAACGAGGCAACCTATTTGGTAACTGGAAAATGTCAGAGGCGGCGTACTACAAGAATTTTGGAAGGATAAAGAAGCCTATACCGCCAAAAACGTATCACCCTGTAGATTTAAAAAATATTCAAGGTGATATCTTCAAAGGTGAGCGAGATATTTCAATTAATAGAAAAAAATAAATTTAACTCTGACCCCTTGTAGACTGTAGATCCGCTACTGATTGAGATCGGACTCATGTTTATATTAACTTTTTTAATTGAAATTATGAGATCTAACACCCATTTCAGTTTGTACCTCAAAACCTGAATCACCACGTGTATTTGTTCCTCATACTGCGTTCTGATGATTTGAAACATAGAATAGCTAACTTCGAGATATCCACTGCAAAGAACAGCATATTAACAACTTTTTACAATGTCCGCAACTACTCCCAAGTTTCAACGCCGTCTGTGAGGTAGGGGTGGCAATTAGGTGAATAGTTAAAGAACCATTATTATGTAGAATTTCATCATCTTACTTTCAATAAATTACATATTACGAAATGCTATAAAAAGAGCTATAAACACTTAAGTTTATGACTAGTATTGTATTATAGTGGGGCTATTGTTCATCGTTAGGATGACATATTTTGATTATCAGTTTTCAAATTCTTGCATGAATGACGTTCATTAAAGTCATGGATAAAATTGAGTTCAAGCGGATCTAGGTAGAAATTCACTATATGACCCTGTGTCGTCCACAAATAGATACATATCATGGATCACTATCAGTTTTCCAGACTTACTTTTAAGAAGATTCTCATCGAGCAGCACTATCTCTCCTTCTTGATTATCTGGGATCACCAGCCTGTTTCGCATAGAGCCCTTCAAATCAAATTTTTGAGAGACTTTTCTGTTGTAAAAAAGATTTTCCATCACCAATAAATTGCTTCTATAAGGTACACTGGTATTGTTTCTGAATACTATCTGGTATATTCCAACTATTTTGCCTAGTAATGTCGGTTGTTTGGTAGTGTGACATCTATTCATGTAATCAAAGTAATATGATGCCGATTCCAAGAATAGTTGAATTTCTGATTTAGACATGTCTTTCAAGATGAATCTGTCATCTAAAACAAACAATAAATATAAATCAATCATCACAGTTGGAATTATAATGAATATTTACGATACGAGTATCGTGAAGATTCATATTACGACATGAGTTGTAGGCCGAGTTTGATAACCTATCAATTATCGTAATATGAATTTACGATACGAATATGGTACAATATTTTACCTACTACCGGAAGCTTCAATTATTGAATTAATTATAGTTAATATTCCTTGAATTAACGATTTATTAGGAAAATGTAAGAAGCAAGCCTTGCAAGGGTTGGGCTTATACATACTTGTCGTGAATCTATTGTGTTCTCGGTTGTCACTCATTCTTCGAACTGTTCAACTTTGACTCGTTCATTTTGATATGAGGAATATTATTATCGACAAGAATTCCGATCACAAAATTATAGAATCCGATATAGAAATTCCGGCAAATGAAGCAATTCAAACCTTAGTCCCTGCTATATTTGAAATCAATTAGTTCTTATCTCTTTCTTCTTTGAGTAAAAACTGGAAATTGACATTATATCTCCAATTTACAACACTAGTGCGATGAAGTATCTCATTACAAAACTGAAATCAGTATCGTAATGTTTCACGTTACATATTGGTAGTAGGTAAATGTAACTTATAGTGAAAATAGTTGAATAGTATAGATACCCCAGGAAACAAAACAGTAAACACAACAAATAGCTAATCAAGTTACTTACCTGCAGATTTAGAAAAATTCGAACCAGATTTCCCACCTCTTGCATTCCACTGTACAGATTTCGATAATGATCTGATAAAACCATCTTCTCCCATAGGTAAAACTGCATTACGAAGAGCGGCAAACTTTTCTGCTAAATAAACTCTGCAAAAGAAGTTGCTATTCGAATCATGAAACTGTACTTCGATATGTGCGTTCCTGGTTTTCTTTGCCACATCAGCTTTTTCGGAAGTATTGGGAGGAACTTCAGAATTGATCTCTGTATTTGTAGCTGTTGGCGACTGAATATATAAATCATTAGATTCCTTACTCCTCAAGAATCCAAGTAAACTCATTGATTTGTCATCATCATTCTTGTCATTATCGCAACTGTTATTTCGTCTTTTACATATAGGACTTGAAGACTGATCATTTTGTGTTTTCCTGCCAACCAACTCTTCTAATGTTTTCTTATAGTCACTCGAAGCAAGGGTGTAAGCTATAACTGAGCTGGGCTCATTTTCTTTCACGACAACAGGAATATATGATTCAGGAAGAATATAATGTTCTTGATTTCCAAAAGGAGCCTAAAAATTAACGGGTCTTCAACAATGATTGAATACCACGTGACTGATTACTATGCAACCAAGAATACATTTGTATCTCTTTAACGTGGGTGGAAAAGAGATTCCGCATAAAAAAGGTCACGTGGTATTTCAATCATTATTGAAGACCCGGTAGTAAAAACTGATGGTATTCATTAGTTATTGGTATTACATCTAATTAATGAATGACAGATAAATTCAAATTCACAAGAGTATTGGAAGGAGAAAGTATGTAGACTTGTTTGTTATTGTGACTAACACACAATAGTACTAGGTACCATAAGACCAAGGTCATCACATTTTTAGTTTCCATGTCACCATTGAATTGGAAGAATGAGGTTCAGTTTTCCTAACCTAAGATTTTTATTCTGACACACGTTGTGAAAAGAAAAGTTCATCATGATTTCAAATCAACAACGTTTTTGATATTGACCAAATATTTTAATTTTTTGAATTTGTCATGTTCCAGATATGTTATACAAACATTTTTTTATTTATATATACCGTTTTAGTAACATCAATGTAACCAACCTCAATGAGTTGTAAGTACTACACTCCTTAATTAATTAGCTTTGCTTATGATTTTTATAACATTTTGTAGTCTGGCCCTGATGATGGAAATATAACTTTCCGAAAGCTTGGACGAACTTGCATGAGTTTCACTTTTACTTTGCTGCTTCCCCACTACTAAGTTTCATCTCTAACTTGTCAGCAACGGCTTCCCTTCTCTCTCTCTCTATATATATAAAGAAATACACTATTGGTACTGGTTTTCACAAAAACCTGAGTTTTATAAATTAGTCCATGAAAGTTAGACAAAAATAGGGCCAAACCTCGGAATGCACAAAGTGCGTTCTCTTCGCAATTGCATGTACATAAAAGTATACATCGTCTCATGCGAGTTACATCTTGAAGACACTTAGTCTGCGAGATAGGACACCACCGTGAGAATGCCAGTTCAACTGCGTTTGCTTTATTTCACTTTGCTATGTACGTCTGACTTTATATTTCGATCCATTAAATTCGACCTGTTTCCGTGTTTTTACAAATACATATTCAACTGAAGCAGTCAGTAGGAAAATCGATAGAGTCTGTGAAAAAGACCCTCTTCGTTTTCAAACGTTTATTCGTCCCAAAGAGGCAGCATCGCAGCTCACCACAAAGAACCAACCCTCCAAGGTTCAACCCCAAGAAAGAAAGGAACTTGACGACGGAATTCAACTTGTCATTATGTTACAAGTCATATTTTTGCTACATTAAAAATACTGTATCATGCACCAAAGACCAAATTTGCAATGACAATTTATCACTCCATATCACAATATTTCACCTTTTAAATTTCCCAGCACGATTATTCAACCTCTTCTGACTGTATTCAATATCTTTGGTGGTGACTAGTCAATTTGATCATCTAGTATATTTTTCCAAGTGCTCTCTATTCTTCTGTGAAGTATCTGAGCAGTTCAGTTACCATGACAACGAAATAAGTGAGTAGCTCTGGTTTCCTGGTTCCTAGAAGAGGATACCTAGCGACCATATTGCAGTTCAATTGGTTGCTATAGATAATTAAGATCTGGTTGGAAGGGTTTGTGAAAGGTTTCATATATTTGTAAAGTTGGAAACAAATCCACTGTTAGTGGGATCAATTGCCTCCTTCATGTGAAGTATATTTCGGTCTCTGGTTTTGGGACAAAATACCCTAATTGTAGGGGATTAATTCAACCTTTTCCACCGGCCACGTACAAGACCGCACATCACAAGAAGGCTTTTTCTCCTTATACGTTGTCTTATGTTTTTGTGGTGATCAATCTCATGGTGAACTGACCCCCTACGTGTGACACCTGGTCCATCGTTATTGTATTTGGAAGCCATAGGGTGCTCGCTGTTGTTGAGCTGATACCCTGTGAAGTCATCGTCTGGATCTACCCGTAGTGAATGAGTAACCTGTCTGCTAATTGGTAAGCTCGTTCCGATTTCGATATCTACTTGAAAACTACCACCAAATTCCTATGAAGATTTTACCACTGCACTGCAAAATTCATTATTTTACGTAACCTACAATAATATTCAACTCAAATTAATAAAAATCAGGTTTTCAATACATTTGTTCGCCACAGTGATCACCTCGGTATCTATTTTTGTTTGGCTATGAATAGCATTTCAGTATAATCTTTTGAATAGTTTGAACCTTCTTGTTACGTTATATTGACCATTATCAACTCGTCGATTATTAGATTTTCGTAGTTCTAGTAAATGATACAGACAACTCGTTAGATCTTAATTTCACCATGCCAACCGTACACACCCCAGTGTCCCACTGATTTAGTCAGTGTCTTATTTCAACTACAGATAATAAGGCACTTTGAACACTATTTTTTGTAACCGAGAACCTTGCTCGATCTTGCAAATCTTTGAATTGAGGCTAATCAGCCTGAACCAGTGTTTGTGTACAACACATAATTAATTTTGGTTACAATGGTTACAATCATCATCGTGAGTTTTCAAGTCAGACACCTCTGTTTCTATTCCTTCAAGTGACCCTAGTGCAGAGCTATATAGATTCGATTTAATCACTCTCAAATAGAATATCACCCCTGTCGATAATTCGAATATTAGAACATTGTTATTACTCCATATGGAATCATAGCGAGACCAGTGTTCGATGACAAAAAAAATGTGCATTTTGCCACCTGTCGATGTATATCCTAATAAACTGTTCAGTTTCATCATCACTATTACGATCCGAAACCTCCAAATGCCGGTAGTCTACAGAATATTCCTCTGCTAGCTGGAATCGTAAGGAAACTAACAGGGCGAGCAGAAGAAGTCATTTCTATCTACGAATGTGAACAATGGAACGACATTAAACATACGTTAATTCAGAACTTTTCTGATCAACGAAATGAAAACAGCCTAACTCGAGACCTTGTTAATATGAGACAACAACAGAAGGAGACCGCATTCCAATTCCACGAAAAATGTATGGGAATTTTGAATACTATAAGTAACTACATCGAAGTCCATAAGGACAATCTCGTAGTTAAAAATAGTGAGAAGGATTTCTTTCGCCTACAAACTATGACAACGCTTCTGGCAGGCTTGAAAGAACCTACACAGATAGAGTAAAAGTACAGATAGAGTAAAATTCGCTACCTACAGAGAAATAATGACCTATCACCGAATATGCCTAACTGAAAACCAATGCAGATGCAAATGAAAAGATTCTCTAGGCCACAATGCAATCCCATGCTTTCCGTACAATATACAGGGCGTGAACAAACCTGACAAAGTCCGCAATCGTCCCAACGTCAATTCCCACGGGGTCCGATAGCCATCACATCAAGACCAAATCATCCAACACAGCTTTTTTTCAACAATCAACAAGTTTTTGGCGGATCCGAAAACAGATTCCAAAATGTATGGACTAATAATATTTTTATTCATTTTGCATCAAGTGCAATAGATTAACAGTTTTACAAATATTATACGTATTAGTCTGACATAAACGAACAAAAAAAAAAGAGGAACCACAAAGCTTTCGCTGTCCGTGGTGAACTCATCTATGAGTGAGATATCATATTATAATACATAGTGAACAGTAATCGAGTGCAAAAAATAGTATATAATTAATAGAATGAAATATGATATAATATAATAGAGAAGATAATTTATTTTCTCACGAATATCTACTCATCTGTCTACCGCTGCCAAGATCACCAATTATAATACCATAATACAACCACATTTTGATTATTGTAGCACTCTGCTTTATGGTTGTGACCAGAATAAAATTATGGCATGAGAGTGATTCTTAGATGTAATCGTTCTAGTAGTATCCCTTCCATGCTTATACTCTGAGTTGGTTATCGATAAAAGATAGACTTTACCGAACATCAATGATATTCATTTTCAAGATTATTAATAATATGCTACCAACCTACTTTAAGGAATTTATAACTTATCGAAATAGTACACATGAATATGAAACGAAGTGGCGTTCTATCAACCAGATGGATATGAAGTAATTTCCTTCTTTTCTCGTAGAACACTCATTCATGGTAGGGTAATAATTTTTGCGCGTAAAAATCTTCACTTCAAAAAAATTGTGGACATGGATTTACTCCCTATAGAAAAAGACATAGAATTCACTGTAGCCTACTGTCAAGAAACAAATATGATTATTCTGTGTATTTACAGGAGTCCCTTGGGTAAGTTCGAGTCTTTCTTAGATGTCTATCTGGGTGTAATGAGCGATCTGTATGACAAATTCAAAAATATCCTGTAGAAATAAGCGCTTCCTGCTGGTTTTGAAAAAACATACTAAAAACATATACATTCTGAGATATATAGAAACATATAATAATAATATAATAATAATAACTTTTTATTCACACAAAAAAATAACTACAAGAAAAATGTACCACAAGATGAGTACAGTTGTGAATAAAATATACTCGATAAGTGATAATTCACTTGTTTCGAGATAGATAATAATAACTAATACTAATTCAATAGCGTTTCGAATAGTTTACCTATAGATATAATAATGACAATAACGAAAAAAAATAAATAAATACAAAAAAAAAAAAAAAAAAAACGAAAAACGAATGAGACAGTACAAAAGTATTAAAAGTAATTGCTATAAATTGAAATACAAATTGAGAAGAAATGCATAATACACTTGGACCTTGATACAATGATCAATTAAAATAATTATTTATCATACTTCGGGGATTTATTAAGATAAACTCCCTGAGGTTCTTTTTGAAAGATGATATATGTGGGATGTTCTTTATATTTTCCGGTATCGTATTGTATAGTTTTGGTGCAAAATAAGAGTATGATCGTTGGGAAGTAGTTTTGAGCATCAATGGTGTTACGTAATGATGTTTTTGACGAGTGTTGTGATCATGACGTGGAAGCTGTGAACATTTTCTATTCACGTGGTACTTGTTGCCTACGCAAAAGAAATAGAGCTGTCT